CTCATTTCCGAATCTGGGCACTAATTCTGACGCCTCCATCTCCGGCTACCCTGCTCCCGTCCAGGCTGCTCTAGCCTCTCACTTGGGTACCTGAGTAGCTTCTCTTTGGCTCCTCACGCCCATCTTAGATTCCTATGCCTCTCTTCACTCAGCAGCCTATTTTTGTCTCTCTTTTCAGAAGCACACCAGATCTTACATGTCCCTATCTAAAGCTATCTGGTGGTGTCTCATCGCACTTAGAAGAAAACCCAAGTTCTTTATCGTGGCCTCAAGGACCTTCGTGCTGGGCCTCTACCCACAGTTCCACCACCCTCTTTCTCTCCCTCCTCACTCCAGATACCTCGGCCTTCTTCCTGTCTGTGGAAGAACACCATGCTCATTTCTACAGCTGTCTATCCTCCACCTGGAACATTGTCCCAGACTGTCCCACAGCTATTCTTATCCTGCAGGTCTCAGTCTTAATCAACCAATCAATTAATTGCTAAGTCAGGTTTTTTTTGTTGTTGCTGTTGTTCTGTTTTTTTAAGATGCTCTCACGGTGTAGACCAGGCTCACCTGAAACATACTATGTCATCCAGGTTGGCTTCAAACTTCCCGTGAACCATCATGCCTGGCTTCAGGTCTTAGTTTAAATATCTGACCTGTGGGAGACCAGCTCCCACATTTATTTACCCCAGGGACTCTTGAGGAGTGAGAGATAAGAGATTTAGATAGAAATATCGAGGAGAGAGACAGAAACAAAGGATAGCCTCGGGTGGACGTGGATACTTACCTGTAGATGTATCCAACCTTCTTATTAAATAAGAAACACAGAACCAATGCAAAGAAGAAAGCCAAGAGGTCAGAGCTAAGAGCTGAAACCTTACCCTTCCTCCTGCGGTGGTCCTACCTCTCCGAACCAGAGCTACCCCTGTGTTAAAGTCTTTATATAGAGTTCCTGTCCTGCCTTCTCATTGGTTGTAAACCCAACCACATGACCGCCTCCTCACGGCCTGTCTGCATAGGCCTCCAGGTTTTCCATGATTGGTATTGAAATTAAAGGCATGTGTATCCAATAATGGCTGTATCCCTGAACACACAGAGACTTACCCAGCTCTGCCTACCAAGTGCTGGAATTACAAGCGTACGCTACCACTGCCCTGCTTTCCTATGGCTTGCTAATAGCTCTGACCCCCGGGCAACTTTATTTATTAACATACAAATAACATTTTAATACAAATAAAATATCACCATACTTACCCACTGGCTTCTTCTGCCTCAACTAAAGGGCTTTTAAAGGAATGCCCAGGGGTGGAACAAAACCACCCCCCACCCCCACACAGCTTAGTGCAGACCATCCCAGACACCTGGTGACCATGCACATGGTCCAGCCATCCCCTAATGCAGCCCTGCTGTGTAAAGCAAGCTCAGATCTCACTAGGAAACCTTTGTGGGCTCCCATACTGATCCCTTGACTTAAGGTATTTTACATACCACTCTCTAGCCAATCATGCAATAGTTATTCCCAGTTTTCTTATTGCTGGGTGTTTTCTTATCTGTGAATGCTTTTTAATCCTTCTTCTTACCCCCTAGAGTGCTAGGTCCTTAAAGACAGGGACTTGGTTGCACTTGTCTGTCAGTCTTCCTGAGGACCTAGAAGAGGACACAGTTGACATTTAAAATAAGAATAAATTGGGGCCAAGTGGTGGTGGCGCACGCGTTTAATCCCAGCACTCTGGAGGCAGAGGCAGGCAGATCTCAGAGTTTGAGGCCAGCCTGCTCTACAGAGTGAGTTCCAGGACAGCCAGGGCTACACAGAGAAACCTCTTTCAACAAACCCTAAAAATTAATTAATTGGGAGCTCACTTAACGCTCTTTCACGGCTCCCCCAGGTGGCCGGCTGTGTCAAGATGAAGCTGAGTGTCTCCTTCCCAGCCACTAGCTGTCAGAAACGCATTGATGTGGATGGTGAACGCAAACTTCGTACTTTCTGTGAGAAGCCACGGCCACGGAAGTAGCTGCTGATGCTCCGGGTGAAGAGTGGCAGGGTTATGTGCTCCCAATCAGTGGTGGGAACAGCAAACAAGGTTTTCTCATGAACCAAGATGTCTTAACCCACAGCAGAGTGCTCCTGCTGTTGAGTGAAGGGCCTCTGCCTTCTCCTCCTCCAATTCTTCTTCTCCTTTATCTTTTCTTTTCTTTCTTTCTCTCTCTCTCTCTCTCTCTCTCTCTCTCTCTCTCTCTCTCTCTCTCTCTTTCTTTCCTGAGACAGTGTTTCTCTGTGTAGCCCTGACTGTCCTGGAACTCACTCTGTAGACCACGTTGGCCTCAAACTCAGAGATCCACCTGCCTCTGCCCGATTCTGTTGGGATCAAAGGCATGTGCCACTGCTGCCTGGTGAGTGAGAGGCATTCTTGTTAGGTGCCAAGGAGAACTGGAGGGTAGAAGCACAAGTCTGTCCAGGATGTGTTGTGGGTGTCAATCTGAGTGTTCTCACCTTGGTTACTGTAAAACAAAAGAGAGACAGACTATTCCTGACTGACACATACTACTGTGCCTTGGCAGTTGTGGTCCCAAAGAGCCAGCAGACTCCAAAAGCCTTTCCGTCTTTAAAGGAGATGATGTCCACTAAGATGTTGTCAGAAGCCCTTAAACAAAGAAGGTGAGAGGCCCAGGACCAGTGTACCCAAGATCTAGTGTCGTGTTCCTCCAGAGTCCTGTAACACAGATGCCGACGTAGTGCTCTGAAGAAACAGCACACTAAGGAAGATGAGAGGCTGCAGAAGATGCTAAACTTTTGGCCAAGAGAATGAAGGAAGCCAAAGAAAAACACCAAGAACAGATTACCGAGAGATGTAGGCTGTCCTTGCTGAGCGCTTCTGCTTCGAAGTCTGAGTCCAGTCAAAAATAGTCTTTAAGTCCGGGCGGCAGTGGTGCACACCTTTAATCCCAGCACTCAGGACGCAGAGCCAGGCAGATCTCTATGAGTTCGAGGCCAGCCTGGTCTACAGAATGAGCTCCAGGACAAATAAGCTGGGCATGGTGATGAACACCTTTAATTCCAGCACCGGGGTGGCAGAGGCAGGTGGATCTCTGTGATTTGAGATCAGCCTGGTCTACGCAGTGAGTTCCAGGACAGCCAGGGCTACATAGAGAGACTGTCTGAAAAAAACCCCAAAACCCAAACCAACCAACTAACAAAAACAAAATAACCCCCCACAAAAAAACCTCCAAAAGGAGTAACAAATAAATGATCAGACCCTGAATCTTCAAATACAAACAAACGAAGAATAAATGGAAAGCTAGAGAGACGGCTTAGTGTCTGCTGCTCTCATAGAGGACCTGAGGTCAGTTCCCGGTACCCACGTTGGGTCACTCACAGCCACCAGTAACTCCAGCTCCAGAAGGATGGATACCCTCTTCTGGCCCCCACAGGCACTGGCAACATACATCCACACACAAAATAAATCTTATCAAAAAGAATAAATGATTTCACTAATATATTTTTGGAAACACTGGGTATTGAATGCAGGGCTTTGGGCATCTGATGGAAGTGTCCACCAGTGATCAATATAACATTTTCTTCTTCTTTGATATACACGCTCACACTGCAGCTCCCTGGGTAGACAAGGCTGGCCCCAAATTTGCACCAATTCCCCCTCTTCTGCTTCCTGAATGCTGGGGTTACAAGCATGCGCTACCATGCCTTGCTCAATAACTCTTATTTATTTAAATCTATTTTATGTGTATGAGTGTTTTACCTGCATGTATGTCTGTGCATCATGTGCATGCCTGGGGCCCACAGAGATCAGAAGAGGGCATTGGATCCCCTGAAACTGGAGTCAGAGGTGGTTGTGAGCGGCCACGCGGGTGCTGGGAAGAGGTCCTCTGGAAGGGCAGCCAGGGCTCTTAACCACCGAGCCATCGCTCCAAACCATGAATAATTCTTTTTTATTTTTTAAAAAATAGTTAAAGGATATTTTGATTTTAAAGATGATAAAAGAATGTCTCACCTACTTTGTGTGTGTGATTTGAAACTCAGTCGTAAATGTTTCTTCAAAGCTCAAAAACATTAGTTTATTTTTCAGACAGTGATTTTCTATATGGCCCAAACTGGCTTTGAATCTGTGACCTTCTTGTCTCAGCCTCCTGAGTGCTAAGATTACAGTTGTGTGCCACCTCGCTTTGTTCCAACAATGAACTGCCCCCCTCCCATTACTTGGGAAATGGAAGACATCAAATAATTCTTGAGCCCTGGTTGTGGTCCTAGAGCCAGAAGTCATGAGGACACAGGTGAGGATCCGGGAAGAAACATCATAGCGTCGAAGATCACACCTACACAGTGTTCGTCGGAGCTATCCCTATTCACCGGCACGGATGTGCGTCAGGAATGCCCACAGATGGACCACTCTGGATTTCACAGTGACTCGAGCCTACACGGGGCCTCCCCGAAATTCCCTGCAGGGCATTTGACCCTCAGCCCTCGTCAAGTCATTTCTTCCTCAGTGGTTGTACACTTCAAACTCTGGGCTTCAAAATTTCCTCTCATTAAGTCAACGAGCACTTTCCAAGAAGAAAGAGATGCCCAAGATGCGTGTGCCTTCCTGTGTGGTATGTGTATGTGTCTGTGTGTGTGTGCGCGCACGCGCATGCACAGTCGTGACTCAAGCCTCTGCCTGCCTTGAGGGTAACCTCAGCATTTCCTTCCAGCCCCGCTTTCCCCGAGCCGCGGCTGGCAGCATTTTGAAAGTGTTTTCTGGAGAAAAGCTGAGCAATGGTTTTGCCATGGGCGGGCCTTTGATCTTCTCCTCACGCTGGCCCTTTATATATCGCCGGGTGGCCATGGCGAACCCATCAAGCTCCAGAGGCCACGAGCAAAAGAGGTTTCACTCACCCTCTCACCGTCGTCATGATCTTCCACGCAGGTACCACTGGCGCTGGCGCTCTCCATGGCTTCAGCTCCATGGCTCTTGTCATACGAGGGGCATGAGACAGGGACGGCTACACCAGCCGACCCATGAGCCTTATGGCATCCTTCTCTTTCTCCAGGACCCACGAAGCCTGCCCTGGTGCTGCTCTGCTGCATAGGAACCTGGCTGGCCATCTGCAGCCCATCCTTTGGTGTACCAACAGCAAAGATCGGGCCTATACTTGTACACTTGAAACTGGACTCGGAGGAGCTTTATGACAACTATGTAAGTGCCCTGGAGATTCCTTTCCCAAACCACTTCTCTAAAATGCCTTATTTTGCTCACCAGAAAAGCTATCCTTTCTCGATGTGAAGCCAGCTCTGGAGGCCAGAGAGGAATGGGGAAGAGTCAGTGAGGCTGAGGTGGGATGTGTATGAGGGGGTAAACGCACTAACAGAGGAGGCAGAGGCAGACTAGTCCAGGGCCCCAAACCCCAGCAACGTCCCAAAGACTACAGGATGTGTGCTCACAGCCTTCTTTATCTCAAATCTGCCTGGCTCACAGTCCTACGACATGAGCGTTCTTACTGGAAGTTCATCTTTAGAGATGGGCCAGCTTGATTCAGGAATCCCCTGAGAGCAGAAGATATCCTAGGGGAGGCAGGTCGAGAAAATCCTCCCATGGGTCTCTGATGCCTCTGGCTAGTTCAAGGCAGCTACCTAACTGAGCAACTATCTGTGTGTGCTGTTGGAGCTTTCTGGAAGGCTCTCTGCCTTGGCAGACCCTGGCAGGAGAATAGCACAAGACCCAGTAAGTGGGAATACTTCACTTCCTCGGGACCTCTCAGATAACGTCAATTAAACAAATAACCCCCAAACTGGAAATGACACCGACTGACTATACTGGCATCGATCTTGTCGTCTGCCCTGGCATAGAAGCTTTACCCTTGGCTTTAACAGACTCAAAGGTAGAAGAGTCAGCTGAGGCCGATGGGGTCTTAGCAATTTGGTCTTACCCCAAAGCTGTCAGTTTTGAGGAAGAGGGAGGGTAAGGAAGGACCCTGAGTCCTTCATTTGTTCCAGAAACTCCCCCTAGCATCTCAGAGGCCTTTGCAGGCACACAAAAACCACCCTCTCTTAGCAAGTGGTATCAGCGGCATTCATACAGAGGCATGAGGAGGAGGGAGCTGCATGGAAACTCAGATGAGCCTCCTTTTCCCACTTACCTCAGCCTCTGAGTGAGAGCAGGTTGCAGAGGCTGGAGAGGCTTCAGCCAGATGGGGAGAGGAGCAGGAGCGAAGAGTGCTCATGAGTGCCCCTAGGCAACATGAACGTGGCCGACCGGGGTGGGTATGCCTTGTCGGCCCCGCTCATAAACCAACTGTGGCTCAGATTCCTGCAGACGCGGGGTTAGTGATGGTCCAGGCCTCGCAGGGTCGCTGTACCAACGAGCTGAGGTCTGAGTCCGGCTAGACACAGAGGAAGCACTGGAAAGGAGCAGTCCAGGTCTCGAGCAGTTATTACAAGCCTAACCCTCACAGTATTTCAAACCTGTCCTCTTTTTACAGAGCAAATGCCAGGCGGCTGGGATGCAAACAAACGGGTCTCTCCAGCTGCCATGCTTCACCCTGGGCTGCGAAGCCTCAGCCAACATCTCAGCCATCCAAGCCTACCTGGAGGAGGCCGAAAGGTTGAACGAGAACACTATAAGCACGGCTCACGTCAGGAAACGGCTCGACGACATCAGATGTTCCAACATCGGGTGTCCCAACCCGCCGAAACCAAGCATTTCTGGGCCTAAAGACCCCTATAAAGTTAAGAGCTTTACACTGACTGTCTTTAAGAGGCTCTCAGACTGCATGGCAGAAGTGAAGGCCAAGGACAGGATATGCTGAGTGATGGGGTAGAGCGAGCTCCAGGGAAGAATCCTAGCCTCCTCAGCAGCACCTGTCCTCGGAGGGCTGGCCTTGCAATGCAGGAATTAACTCGAAAGAGACTGCGCCATTGCGACAAGCTTTGTTATTTATGACGTCTTTATTCTGTCCACCGAAACCTTAGTCTTCTACCCTTGCGGGGGCCGGAAGTGGCAGCTAATATTTATTTATTGGTATTTATGTACTGAGTTGTTATCGCTCCTTGGAGGAGCCCTCAGAGTCTATTTAATAAATTATACTGACGTGATCTCCTCATCTGCTTTGGAGTTTGTGAGGGCGCTGAAATCAGAGGGTGGGAATCCAGCCTGGACGGCGTTGCTGAATGGGAACGTTCTGGAAATAGCCAGTGCTTCTGTCACTATTTCCCTCCACTAGATAGACTTATGGACAAGTAACGCCAGCATGCACCAGGTGTCTGTTTGACATTTTCTTTACTCCAGGTCGTAAGCATGATCACTGTCCTTTTGATATGTAGGCTGGGAAACTGAGGCAAGAAGTCATTTAACCACTTACTCAGGTTGACACAGCCTCTTAGTGGTCTAACCCAGATTCCGGCTTGCACTTTGTTATTCTACCCGACCTTAGTCCTTCCCTGGGTAGTGACAGGGTCTCGGGGGCCCTCGACGCCATGCCTGGTACAGGGCAGTAACTCAGTGTCCACTGCACAATTCCCACTGCATCCCCAGGGTCTTCCCCTGTTCGGCCACCTCAATAGGAACTTCCTCACAGCAGACATGAAGTTTGCTGTTTGAGTAAAAGCTGACAAGGTCCTCAGTGGGCATCTGGAAGGAGGGGGGGTCTCAAAGCGACTGGGGACCTTCAACAGCACCAACAGCACCAAGCATCACGTTGGAAACACAAAGCCTTGCTCCCACCTGCTCGCTCGCACAGTCTAAGCACGGGGCTAGCAGCTTAGTTTTGCTTGTTGCAAGGCCGGGGTTGAACTCAGGGCCTTGAGCATAAGATAAACTGTCAGCCCGGTCGTCCTGGTTCTGAAGCCTCCTGAGCATTCATTTGTATCTGTGCTCACACCAGGAACCACACTAATCCTGAGTCAACCAGCACTTTCCTTGTCTCTTTAGGAAAACCGAGATCCAAAGGAAGGAAGATGTGATGTGCTAAAGGGCACACAGAAGGGGAGATGTGGTCAGGATTCGGAGCTGTGTAGTGAGGAGTCAGACTTCCATTCGTTTTCTCTTTGTGGTTTTTCAAGGAAAAACCACAGTAGCCCTGGCTGTCCTGGAATTCGCTCTGTAGACCAGGCTGGCCTCGAACTCACAGAAATCCGCCTGCCTCTGCCTCCCGAGTGCTGGGAGAGGCAGGTGGATCTCTGAGTTCAAGGCCAGCCTGGTCTACAGAGCTAGTTTCAGGATAGCCAGGGCCATACAGAGAAACCCTGTCTCCACAAACCAATACACACACACACACACACACACACACACACAGAGCAGGAATGAGGAGAACAGGAAAATCATCAAAACACTTCAGTAATTTCCAGGAAAATATGAAAATTAGAGGAAGCTGGCCTGACTTCACATATCTTCCCTGTAATGAGCATTTTTAAATGCGATGGTTTGCAGGAATGTCCACAAATTCTTGCTTATACCTCCTTCCTACACACAGCACCGATCTGAGGATTCACGTTTTTGTTTTCGTTTAGGAATTAACTCAAGAGAGAACGTGCCATTCTTACTAGCGTTGTTATTTATGAAATGTTTCTCTCCAGTCCACTGAAACCTTCTTTTTATATCCATATTGGGTGCAAGAATGCAAATTCTACTTTGTGGGCTGGGGAGTGTAGTTCTGGCTGTCCTGGAACTCAGTATTTAGACCCAACTGGCCTTGAATTCACAGAAAGCCACCTGCCCCTGCCTCCCAAGAGCTGGGATGGAAGCTCTGGGCCCCCATGCCTGGCTTTTGGTTTTGAGACAACGTTCTACTTTTATATGTAACCCTGGCTGGCCTGCAGCTGCTGATCCTGTTCCTGTTAGAGCTTCCTGAGTGCTGGATGATAGACCTGTGCCACATGCTTGACTCCTTGGTTTATTTTTCATTTATTTTTGTTTATTTGCTTGTTTATTTATTAATTTATTTTGTTTTTCCAAGACAGGGTTTCTCTGTGTAGCCTTGGCTGTCCTGAAACTTGCTCTGTAGAGCAGGCTGGCCTCGAACTCAGAGACCCTCCTGCCTCTGCCTCCTGAGTGTTGGGATTAAAGGCGTGCGCCACCACCGCCCACCTCCTTGGTTTCCCTTGTTTATTTTTGTGCTGGGGTCAAGCTGGAGTCTTTCACCCGCTGTGCTCATGCTGGGTCCCTGAACTCCACACTCAGCCTCTGAAACATTGTTTGCTTTTTAAATTCCATTCCTCGGTCATACTGACCACAGTCCAAGTGGCTTGATGGCCACACTCTCCTACACGGAACAACACAGATGCAGAACATTCCTGTCAGCATAGCCAATTCGATGGAGAGGATTGCATTTGATTGACACATTATCTACTACTGATTGAGTCCCGGAGACGAGAACCAAAGCGCTTTCCATGGAGTAGGGGAGCTGGCTCCAAAGGCCAGGGTAAAGGGGCCAGGGAGGGGCTGCACTTGAGGCGTTTCTTTCCAGCTCCAGCTTCCTTCACTGACATGTGGGACCTAGCTTTGGACCAGCCGTGTGCTGCCTGCCGATCCTCTCGTGAGGATGTCCCCGCTCTGCTGGAGGGTCATTTCGATCATCTGAGATGCATGTTTGGTGGCAAGCAGAGCATGCCACCCGGAAATGTGAAACCTTCTCAGCAATCATGACCAAAGGGCCAGACTTTGAACGAGGAGCCCATGACACAGAGCAGCGGGCATGGTGGAAAATGAATCCCCACAGGAAGAGATGGAACCGCAGGGCGGCTTCGGCCTGGGAGCAGGAAGGCTATGGTCTCAGGAGCGGCACAGTGCCCCAGATTTAGGTGGTGACGAGCAATGAGGTCAGAGACTCTGAGGGCTGCTGCACTGGAATCCGCCAGAAGAGGGACCGAGCTAGGGTCTCTCAGCCTGTCCCCCGTCACTGAAAGCCCACAGTTCTAGAGATGACTCAGCTCCAGGCTGGGGGACTCCGCAGCAGTTTTCTGATTAAAACTACATTGTTGGGCTCTGGGGTAAAACGCTCAGTGTGTAAGCACGAGGATGTGAATTCAGCTCCCCAGGGCCCAGGTAAAGTCGGAAGAGGTAGTTCATGCCTGTAATTCCAGCTCACCTAAGATGAGACAGGATATGGAAACAGGAGAATCCCTGCACAGTCACGGGCCAGGTAGCCTAGCATACACAGTGGTGAATGAGAGACCTTGTCTCAATGAGGTAGAAGGCTAATATTAACATCTGGGGTTGTCCTCTGACCGCCACACACATGCATACATGTACACATACATATATACACGTCATACACAGATACATAAGAAAAAAACCACTTGTCCATAAGGATAAAACACCTTATGACGGGTTTGATTCTCCTCTTTAATTCCCTGCTTGACAGATGTCCCAGTGGCTTAAGTACCTGTCACTCAAGTCTTGAGACCTGAGTTTGATCCCGGGAGCTCGGGTAAAAGCCAGATGTGGTGGCACACATCTGTAATCCCAGCACTCCTACAGCAAGATGGGAGGTGGAGGCAGGGGAACCGCACCGACCCTCATGGGCCAGCCAGCCAGCACAGAGCATGCCACAGATCAGAAACAAGAAAGACTCGCCTCAAACACAAGGTGGAAGGCAAGAACTGACTTGTGGAAGTTGTCCTCTGACTTTCACACAAGTGCCGTGGTGTGCACATGTCTGCATTCACACACACACACACACACACACACACACACACACACCATATACACACAATGCTGCTACTCCTAATAGTAATTTTATAAATCCACTTTATGGAATGCTTCAGGTGGAGGATCCCAAACTTCGGGGAACGAGACCAGTGGAGGCACAGCCTGTGTGCAGTCGTAAGGCTCCACATCCGGGGCGCGCAGGGATGGGGTGGGGGGTGGGGGTGTCCTGAGGATCCTAATGCTCTGCTCTGTTTTTGAGAGAGGGCCATGCTCATAACTCAGCTTGCCTGGAACTGCAATCTTCCCGACAGATTCCTGAGTGCTGGGATTACAGGCATGTGCCAGGCATGACGAAGTCTTTGTTCTTGTCACTGTCTCAAAATCCTTCACGTGTTTTGAACCAAGTATGTAGCTGGTCCAATTGAAGTGTTGAAATTCCTGGATTTGATACCTGGAGATTGTGAGTCGGTGGGGTCTAGGTGGTCTCTGGAACGCAATGAACAACTTTATTGATCTACAATTTACATAGTTAATGTGTTGAAGGTGCATGAGTCTTCGTTATTGGGCGTTCATCAATGCTACTTCAGTCAGTATGCACACCGGCGTTCCTGCTGACGGCTGTCGTAACGAGGTACAACACACCACTCGTGTGTGCATGTGCTGACACAGGTGTGAACAAGCCTACTGTGTCACCATCACACAAAACACAACACAGGGACTGGGGCAGAGCACGTGCCTGTGTGGACAAGAACCGCGGCTCGGCCCTCAACCCCCAAACCGGAAAGGCTGTACAGCACGTAAAGTCAGGCACAGTGAATGGTACTAAATACCTCTGTCACCAGTCTGCAGAAGTACTCAGCATGTCCACCTTCCCTTGCTGGGCCCAAACACCCGAGACCATCAACTCAACAGGAAAAAAGCCCTGAAGACCTACGGGGAGTTAAGGGCTGCAGGGGGAGGTATCGGTGTTCAGTGCTGGGGCCATTGGCTAAGTTGTCCCATGCTTCAGTAAATAACTGCACAGCCATGCTTGAACAAGCAACACCAGTTCAACTCTCGGTCTCTCTCCCTCCCTCTTTCTCCTCACCCCCTTTCTGTAAACACCCACAGAGTCATAGACATACAGACACACAGACATACAGACACACACACACACAGACACACATACACAGACACACACAGACACAGACATACACAGACATACACATATACACACAGACAGACAGACACACACACAGACACACACAGACACAGACATACAGACATTGACATACAGACAGACATACACATATACACACGACAGACAGACAGACACACACACACACACACACACACACACACACACGATATGATAGGAGGGGGGATTTGTTGGGAAGACATTCAGAGGGGGACACAAGAAGGTAATGGGCTGGACCGGAACAAAATACATTATAAACATGTATGAAATTATCGGAATAAATAACAATATTTAAAAATAATAATGCCAGGCGGTGGTGGTGCACACCTTTAATCCCAGCACTCAGGAGGCAGAGCCAGGTGGGTCTCTGTGAGTTCGAGGCCAGCCTGGTTTACAGAGTGAGTTCCAGAACAGGCACCGGAGCTACACAGAGAAACCCTCTCTCGAAAACAAACAAACAAACAAATAGATAAATAAATAAATAAAAATAAAAATAATATCATCAGGAGCTGGGAAGATGGAAAGATGGCTCAGCAGTTAAGGGCACTTATTGCTTTTGCAGAGGACCAGGGTTCAATTCCCAGAACCTGCCATCTGTAACTCCAGTTCTAGGGGATTTCTGACCTTTGTGGGCACTGAGCACACATGTGGCATACATACATACATACAAACCAGCAAAACACTCATACATATAAAATAAAATCAATAAATCTCACACACACAAAAAAAAGGTCATCAGATAACATCTGAAGCCTATCTGGGTTTTTCCCACGTGGTTGTCACGGACTGTGGCCGTTTGAATGGGAATGACCCCGTGGGCTCATATGTATTTGAATGTTTGATCCCCAGCGGGTGGACTGTTTCGGAGGGATCAGGACATGTGGCCTTTTGGAGGAGGTATGTCACTGGGGGTGGCCTTTGAGGTTTCAAAAGTCCACGGGCCAGGCCCAGGCTCTCTTCACCGGCAACTTTGAGATCGGATGAGCTCCTAGCCACCGCTCTAGCACCGTGCCCGCCTGCCGCCATGCTTCCCACTCAAACGATCATGGACTAACCCCCTGAGACTGTAAACAAGCCCCTGCCAGTTAAATGCTTGCCTTGGGGGCTGGAGTGATGGCTCACTGGTTAAGAGCTCCAGAGAACCCCGGTTCAAGTCCCAGCACCCACATGGCAGCTCACAACTGTCTGTAACTCCAGTTCCAGGGGATTCAACACCCTCATACAGGCAAAACTCCAATGCACATGAAATAAAAAGCAAATCATTAACATATATTTAAAAAATGCTTGCCGCCGGGCGGTGGTGGCGCACGCCTTTAATCCCAGCACTCGGGAGGCAGAGCCAGGCGGATCTCTGTGAGTTCGAGGCCAGCCTGGACTACCAAGTGAGTTCCAGGAAAGGCGCAAAGCTACACAGAGAAACCCTGTCTCGAAAAACCAAAAAAAAAAAAAAAAAAAAAAAATGCTTGCCTTGGTCATTTTCACAATAATAGAATAATAAGCGAGATACCCACCTACCCGAAGTCCCCACCCATGTATATGGCAAATGCCTTGATTCATTACTTTCTTTTAAAAGTTTTTAATTACATTTATTCATTTACTTAGTTATGTGTGTGTGAGTGTTTAAGTACAAATGTAGAGGCCAGAGGATAATTTTCACAAGTCAGTTCTCTCCTTCCAACATAAATGGTCCCAGAAACTGAACTCAGGTCACCAAGCTCGGTAGCAAACCTTCATATGCACTGAGCACCTCAGCAATTCCACGACTTTCTCTTGTGTAACAATGTAAGTTCCAGCAACTGCTTCCATGCTGAAATGGAACTCGGGGTAACCTGAATCTCTGTTTCGAGGCAGAGGCCACTCATATTCAGCTCAGAATAAACTGCCTCTCCTCCTGGAAGAAGGAGAGGGGGAAGGGAGTACAGGCTCACCGGGACTCACAGGAGCAGAGACTGTGTTCACGGTCACTTGGTCCCATTGCTTCTGGCTGCTCATCATACTGAAAATGTGGTGGAGGAAACTCTTCACCCCACGGTAAGTCTGGAAACAAGGAGAAGAGGGGCTAGAGTCCCAGTAATTCCTTCAAGGGATGACCCCAGTGACCTAGCTTTCTTCTACTATTAAGTATGACATCACTTCCCAGCAGTTCACTGGCTGGTGACCAAGTTTCTGACACATGGACTTTGAGGGATATTCCAGATCCAAATGATAGCACTGTACTATATTATTCAATGCTATAAAATACTATACTACACCATACAATACTATACCATACAATATCATATTGTACTATACAATAATGTACTATACTGTACTATACTATACCCTACAGTACTATACTATGCTATAGAATACTATATTATTTACTATACTGTACTATACTATACTATATATAGTGGTTTAAATGAGAATGTACACTGTAGGCTCACATAGTTAAATGCTTCTTTCCTAGTTTGTGGAACTATTTGGGAAGGATCAGAGGTGTGGTCTTGTTAAGGGGGTTCACTGGGGGATGGTCTTTGACGTTTCAATAGCCCACACCATTTTGAGTTAGTTCTCTCTTTCTCTCTGCTGTGTGCTTGTGGACCAGATGGAAGCTCTCAGCTACTGCTCCATCACTGTGCCTGCCTGCCGCCATGCTCCCCGCCATGATGGTCATAGGCTCTAATCCTCTAGAACTGTGAGTTCCCAAATGAAATGCTTTCTTTAATAAGTTGCCTGGGTCATGGTGTTTTATTACAGTAATCGACAAGTAACTAAGACATACTGTACAAGACAAGACTATATACACAATACAATCCTATCCTATCCTATACTACATTGGTGGTGGCGGTGGTGGGATTTTTAGACAGGGTCTATGTAGCCCTGGCTCTAGCCCAGAATTCCCAATGTAGACCAGGCTGGCCTTGAACTTGTAAGTGACCCTCTTGCCTATGTTTGCATCAACAGATCTAGGTTTTTTGTTTTTTGTTTTTCACTGACGGACTTTGCTGGGGAACACTCTACCATTGAGTCACACTCCCAGCCCTAAATACCTTTTAGCATTATCTTAGCGTGTACTCCTACTTGCTAATTAAAACACAACAAAATGATAGGCTGAGTATGCTGGAGGTGCATCCTACACCTCATGTTTCCCATCTGTTGAGCTAAGCCTAGTGACTGAGCAGTTCCTACAGGTTTGTCCAAGTACACCCTATGGCGTCCACATATGGACGGGGAACCTGAAGACTCGTTTCTCAGAAAGTAGCTGTGTCCTGAACTGATGAAACACTGTGTACTTACAGAGTTGTGCAACCATAACCATCATCTAATCCCAGAGCATTTTATTATTCCCAAAGGAAACTCCTTACCTGTCACATTAACGGTCCCTCACGAGTCCCCTTTCCTCTCAACCCCTCAGAAGCACCAATCTCTCTGACTGCATGGATTTGCCCATGCTAGGCTAGCCTGCAGATGGCATCATACGCTGTGGCCCTTTGAGTCTGGCTCCTATCTCACAGCATCATGCTTTTAGGGTTCGTCTGTATAGGGACAGATGTAAGCACACCCGCTGTCCCTTGTTTGCTTGTTTCTTTTGAGTCCTAGCTGGCCTGCATCAGTAGCAAGCTTCGTAGCATGTGCCTTCACCCACTGTTCCTCAGTGGCCCAGAGGCTTTCATGCTGGGCTCAGTACTTTTGATATAAGCCCCAAGGCCTGATGGCAGGTGGCCCACAACTGCGGTGACATTTGTCTTGATGCCTACTCACCCCCCCCCCCCAGATTCTAAGCAACAAGAAAAGTGTAGAGGGAAGAGAGGAGAGATCAGCTAGGAATTCACTCTAGATCCAGACCACCTGCCACAGGCCTGTGCAAGAGGGAAATCTTACTCACACTTGCCTTCCTGACAGGCAGTAACGTTGGACAGAGCCAACCGCAGATGGTAAGTATGATAAACCCTAAGTTAGCTGGAAGCCGACTAGAAAAGAACTCTCAAGTAACTAGAATTTCTTTGGGTCATGACCAACCAGAACCTAGAAAGAGGCTGAAGAATGACGAAGCAGACCTTGGCATTTTGTGGGAAACTAAAGATCCCAAACATCTTTCACAGTGTGGTTTTGCTGTCAAAACAATACACAAATATGACTGTTAAAGGTCAAGTGGTGGTGGGTGTGGTGCTGCACGCCATTAGTACCAGCAATCCAGAGGCAGAGGCAGGCAGATCTCCATGTGTTCCAGGCCAGCCTGGTCTACAGAGTGAGCTCCAGGCCAGCCAGGGCTATGCAGTGAAACCCTGTCTCCAAAGCAAATAAGTAAACAAATAAGTAACAAAAAAGAAAGTCGTGTGCCACAGACTCAGAGAAGGAGGAGGAGGAGGAGGAGGAGGAGGAGGAGGAGGAGGAGGAGGAGGAGAAGAAGAAGAAGAAGAAGAAGAAGAAGAAGAAGAAAAAGAAGAAAAAGAAGCAATAAATAATAATAATATGACTGATTTATTCCACGGGGGTCTCTGAGAGCAAAGGTTTGTGTTTGCCTACTTTATAAAGAAAGTCAGGGAATACAGAGCTGTGAAGAAAAGGATAAAAACAAACAAAACTGGTCAAATTATGGGGCCCAGTGCGGCCTTGAATTTACAGGACAAAGTGATTTTCCTGCCTCAGACTCTCCTGTAGCTGGGAGAAAAGGGGTGTACCACAGTGGGTAGCAAGGAAGATTTTCTTTTTATCCATGCACATGTGTGTGTCCATGTGAGTTTATGCCACATGTAAGCTGGTACCCCTGGGGGCCAGAGAGGGCACTGGGTCCCTTGGGGCTGGCGTCACAGAGGTTTATAAGCTGTGTGACATGGGTGCTGGGAACTACACCCAGGTCCTGTGGAAGAGCAGCCAGTGCTCTTACACTGCTGAGTCTTCTCTCCAGCCCCAAGACAGCGATTTCTGAATGACGTCATCTTCTTATTCTAGAGAATAAAGACACACGAGGAAAAAAAGTAAAAAGGAATCAGAAGATTCAGTGGGCAAGAGAGAGAGAAGAGGAGAGGAGAGGGAAGGGGGAGGAAAAGCTGAGACGTCCTCAGAACCACCACGAGAGCACACGGGAAAGTCAAATGTCAAACAATAAATCAAACCTTCGGTAAATGTGAAACTGTGCTCAACCTCACAAGAGACCACGAAAGGCAAATAAACGGGAGGTGTGGCCTTCTGCCTGTCAGTCAAGGCGCTTCTCAAGCGATCAGGTGACAAAAACCCCCAAGAGCCACCTCCAGAAACAGACATCAGTCTTCTGGAAGGATTACGCCCTTGACCAGGGGCTTTCCTGGCTTCCTCTCCTAACCTGGTCACAACCTGGACAAGGTGTGCACACTAACATTCACACCAGCATTAGGGATCTCACGGAAACCAAACTGGCACAGGGAAGGGAAGTTGACCTGTGTCTGCAGGAATCTTTTTGGAGATTCTCAGCAGGAGCCTGGGAGGGAAAATGGGGAGGGGGTGGGAGTGCTGGAGAGTTATCTGACCCCAGGGGAGGTCAGATCCTAGCTGGAAGGGGAAGGAAGGAGTGAAGGGCAGTTGGAGGCAGCTCTCAGCCTGTGGAGCTGTTTCAGATGTTTTTTTGTTTGTTTATTTGTTTTGATTTTCTTTTCTTTTCTTTTCTTTTTTTTTTTTTGAGACAGGGTTTCTCTGTGTAGTTTTGGTGCCTGTCCTGGAACTCACTCTGTAGACCAGGCTGGCCTCAAACTCACAGAGATCAGCCTGGCTCTCCCTCCCAAGTGCTGGGATTAAAGGCGTGCGCCACCACCGCCCGGCTTTGATTTCCTTTTTTAAAGACAGGTCACGCAGGTTGTCTTAAATTTTCTATGTTGCTAAAGCTGGCCTTGAACTCCTGATCCTCCTGCCTCCACCTGTGGAGTCCTGGGATTGTAGGCACAGGCACCCTCCCATGCATGGCTTCTACGGACAGGGTTTAACTAAGCTGCTCGGAAACCACACCAAAGCTGATGATCAGAGGAGTCCACGCCTCCCAAGGACGAGCCAGTTCAGTCCCTGCTACGCTGTCACTGTCTGTGGGTAGCTGGTAAAAAGCAGGGCCTGAATGATGGTGGGCCATGCATTTCAGAGGCCAGCATCGGAGGCTCTCGGCCGATCACACTTCCCAAAGTAAGGGATGTGACAGGCACAGTCTCACGGCCACTATGCAACCCAAACAGCTCAACATAAGACAATGAGCAGGAAAAAAATCAGTTCCTCTTTATGTGACAGAACCATGCAGCCTGTCATGCCAATTCTCAGAGAATATCTAGTAGCAGGTAAAACACCAGGTTGATGTATAAAAGCAGGTTATAAAACTGTGAGACAAAACCTCTAGCTCAGGCTGTCCCGGAAACCACTAGGTAGCCCAGGCTGCCCTTAAGCATCTAGTAGTCCTTCTGCTCCCATGGCCCAAGGGCTGGGATAATAGGTGTGATA